GAGAACTGGCGGTAGGTGAAACAATCTTAAGTATATTAGTTGGTTAAACACATTCATTATTGGTAGGGCAGTCCTTACAATCTTTCTCCCCAAAACTAATTTTTTGTTAACCGATATCTTTTGGGGTATGCAGTTGTTCAGACTTTGAAGTATGTGTGTAGAAATTTCTAGAAGGTTATGTCCCTTGGGGTAGATGAGTTTGCCCACTTGGAATAGAGTAAAAATAAAACATAATTTTTACGTAAACTAGATCATCTCAGGGAAATAAATTTAGGAGGAGTGTCTAAGATAGAAAAGTCTGAAGATGGCAACATTCTCATGATATGATGAGTAAAGATGGAAGGGAAAAATAGGGGGAGGGTCCCGTGTTCTGAATTTTAGGACAACATGTGATGTGGAGAAATTAGAAGGATAATAGCTTTTAGCTCAGTCCTTAAGTTTAGAATACATTTGTAAGTGATACATGTGTGGAATATCCAATTATAGATCCTAACTACGTAGCAAGTTTCTGGTATTCTTGTATAGTTTAGTACGCTAAATCCATTTCCTCGGCTGGTGTAAAGAGATATTTTACATGGAAATACTGAAAACACAAATATTACTTTTGCTCCTCAGTTGGGTTTGAAAGAAAGAATCTAGCTGAAAAAAAAAAATTGAACGATTTTGGGGATTAGTATCGTCTCCTGCAAAAAGGACTAAATTAACAACACTTGACAGATGTTGCTACTTAGGCCTAGAAAATCAGGTAAATCTGGCAGAACGCAGCCTGTGATGGTAGTGGTAATTGAGGAAAACAAAATGTTACATGTTTGAAGTGGTATCTGTAGGCGGTACATGGGAGTGACTGTGGTGCCCCCAAGAATGTGGAAATAAAGGAAATACGATTGTCTTCTGAGAGCTGACTACGAAATCTATGCAAATACCTACAAGCAGGGTCTCAAATTCAAATGCCTGTTGGGGTCTAGGCTGGTAATATAAAGGAGAGAAGTGAGCCTAACTTCAGAACCAGAGATTTCCTTCCCCACCTATAAGTAACAAGAATTCTGTTCCAGCTACTTTTTTGCAGTGTTGTCAGATGTGTTTTTAAAAGAGATACCTAGATTTTTTAACGCTGGCAACGAATAGAAAAAAAAAAAAAAAAGAACCACTTTGAGACATGAACAAATATCTTTGGTCTTAAAATCAACAAATTTTCTTTGTTTTGCTTCTATATTTAATGAACAACCTTTTGACTATATTTTTAATTAAAATCTGACTACACTCAGAGAATTAGCTACCATTTATAGACACCTACCGTAAGCCAACCTTTTAAGAACTTGAACCTCAGCAATAACAAACTAATGAGAAAACATTGACTCTCCCCTGAAAATATTCCCACCAAACCATTTAGCCTCTGTTCAAGCTTAGTAACATATTCACTGGCACTCTTACATCAGAAGAAAGAAGTATCTGCTCGAGTCCCGATTAAATGTTTCTCAGAAGAGTGGTCTATCTTTTCAGTTTCAAGCGCCTGCCTATGATTATTTGAATGAGTAGTAAGAGGAGGAAAAATGGGATAAATTTACTTTTGTTAATCAGAATTATTCTTCTTTTCCATTGATTAAGTCAGAGAATTGTAAGTATAGATTTCTTAGACAGAAAAATAGCTGAATTGATTCTTATACAGGATTAAGGAGCCCTGGTGGTGCAGTGGTTAAAGCACTCAGTTGCTAATCAAAGGGTCGGAGGTCAAACCTACCAGGTGCTCCTCTGGAGAAAGATGTGGCAGTTTGCTTCCATAAAGATTTACAGCCTTGGAAATCCTATGGGACAGTTCTGTGCTGTCCTATAGGGTCGCTATGAGTTGGTCTCGACTTGATGGCAATGGGTTAGGGTTACCATATGCCAAAAGGAGCCCCGGTGGTGTACTGGTTAAGTGATCGGCTACTAAAGAAAGGTCATCAGCTACAGGGGAGAAAAAGACCTGACAATCTGCTCCCATAAAGATGATAGCCTTGAAAACTCTATGGGGCAGTTCTATTCTGTTCTAAAGGGTTGCTATAAGTTGGAATCGACTCGATGGTAATGGGTTTGGTTTTTTGGTTTACTACATGCCAGACACTAATCCCTTCTAGCCCAATGCAAAGCAGTTGTTGTAATCAGAGAGTGTAAATAACTTTCCAGGTCACAGAGCTATTGGGATTTCAACTCAAGTGTCTGTCTCCAGTGCCTCTACTTTTCCACTGAGGAGGCTGAGAGATTGTTAGAGTTTTGGTAAATGAAAAATTTTCAGCATCCTCCTTATCCCCAGTAAGGGTGGATTTATATTGATATGCAACCTCCTGGCCCTTCCTGCCTCCCCCTACCCCAACTCCTGTAGAGCCTGAGTCCAGTATGCATAATGCATATTGAGGAGTCCCTGGAGGGTGTAAATGGTTATAGTTCTTGGTTGCTAACCAAAATGTTGCAAGACTGAGTCAATTCAGAGGAGCCTTGGAAGAAAGGCTTGGTGATCTACTTCTGGAAAAATCATCCACTGAAAACCATATAGAGCACCGTTCTACTCTGACACACATGGAGTTGCCATGAGTTGGAGTCAACTTGATGGCAACTGATTATAATGTATCTGCCAATGTAAAGTAGAAAATTGGCATGCTGGTAATCCAAACTATGTGCTTGATTAATCTAGCATATTGAATACTAACTAAATTAATTTCAAAATCAGGCCGGGGGCTAGACCCCAGGCAGGTGGTAAATTCATCTAGGAAAACGTCTCTTAAGAGACAACCATCTGGCTTCTACCGCAACCTCATGTGTGTAATGACTTCAGCAGAATGCACAATTTTCTGTGATTTCTCATTTCTTCTTTATAAATGTATATTAACAGGGAAAAAAAGCTCCAATAAAGCTAATTTCATGTGGAAAAGAAATCCAACCTAACCAGCAAACAGCGCTCTGCATAGCTGAATTTAATTTGAGATACGTTGCCCACTCTGAACCTAACCAAAAACTGCACAGATCTCTCTCTTGAGGTATACATACTTCTTACAGAAATGGCTGCTCTGTAGAAACACCTTCATTTACTTGGGAGTTCCTATGTACACTGAAAGTAGGTCTTAAAGCAATCCCTTTCCCACTGAAATATCTGAATCCAACTGAAAAACCCAAACTGAGACTATAGACAGATTAAAAATATGACAGGAAAAAATCAAGAGACTTGTTAAAGGAAGTGGGTAAGTTTATTTAAGTGTGGTCAAATACTGTGTAAGTGAAAGTGGATCCAAAGGTCAGCCTCGGCCTGGTCAAGAGAAACCACAGTGAACGCTGCAGTCCACCAACCAGCTGTGTGGAGAACCCCAAGTCAAACCTCTGTGTTGACTTGACTGCGTTGTTTGAATGAGTTGTTTGGTTGCTACAGCATAGTCTAGTTGCAGCCTGGGGCCAGTGGTGATTCTTTGGTAGCATTCTCACCTTTCATATGGGACACCTGGGTTTGATTCCTGGTCCAGTGCATGTCATGCAAAGCCACCACCTGTCTATCAGTGGAGGCTTGTGTGTTGCTATGACCCTGAACAGGCTTCAGTGGAATTTCCAGACTAAGACAGACTAGGAAGAAAGGCCTGGTGATCAACTTCCAAAAATCAGCCAGTGAAAACCCTATGGATCACGATGGTCTGAGCCCGTTGTGCATGGGGTCACCATGTATGGAGGACTGACTGGACTGTACCTAACAACAGTTGCAGCCTAGACTCTAGACATTGTAGGTTCCTGCTCTCTCGACAAATTTTATTCCCAGAAATTGTGTTATGGAAGTGAACTAGGAGAAGGCAGATGGAGAACACACTATGGAATTCAAGTCCAAGGTCATAATTATCCAATGATTGCCTTAGGAAGCACTGCATGAACTGAGACAGGAAGCTTTTGTAAATTAATGTAAGACATAGAATTCAGAGCTTGTCTGGACTCTGCATTATGGGGGACTGGCTGAGAGACTCTGAAACTTAAAAAGCCCTCTTTACTGCTGGTGAATCTTAATGCACTTTCCTCACCAGAAACTTGTTAACAATTAGGTCATCTGATAGGATTTTGGAGATAGGCATGAGTCAGAATTTCACATTAGAGTATTTTTTCAAGTCACCAGAGATAGTAACCCTCGGCAACAAGAGATGAATGTATAGAGGAGGGAAAGATAAAGGGCCCTGCCATCTTCAGCAAACTTTCAAACCGAAGACTTTTTCTTTTACCCTGACTTTTCTCTGAGGCCTCATGAAAGCAAGAGCTTATTTGTTCCTTTAGAGTTTTAGAAAATTTATATTGAGAGGATCATCTGAAGTCAAACTGTGTCAAGAAGGTGCCTAGAGATTTGGTGTTATATTTAAAATTTAGTTTTCTTAAATTTTCACTGATTTTGCTTGGATTTGGAAGTTAGGCCTATATGCATAGAAGTCTGACTTAATGTCTCTTCTCCATTACTCATTACACACTGAATGATTCCTCGGAGTGCTTTACATATATTAAATTATTTAATCATCACAACCTCTCTATGAGGTACGTATATCTCATCCGACAGGTGAGGAAATTGTTGAGGCACAAATAAGCAACATAACTTGTCCTAGGTCAAAAAGTTAGTATTTGTATTGGGATTAGAAACCAGACTCCTGGGCTCCAGAGTGCAACTTGAAGACACTAATTGTCTCATGTTGAGTAAATCAATTTTTTGGGAGGAATGCTCTAGGAGAACCATATTTAAATTCTATTATGAAGTCTGGAGAGGTGCGGAATTTCCAAGATCCATACCATCACTGGCAGCGGGACCTGGAAGATGGATTATGTGTTTCTTTGTCTGAGTCTTTTGACGAAGGACAAGGAGTTTTAGGGGATTTTAGTGAATTCATAAGACTTGTAATGGTTGAAAATTAAGCCACACATTCTTTCTTTTGAGGCTATTGCCCTGTGATATATGAAAGGAGAGACTGAGGGTTTCTAAACACCCATTGAAACCACCATTTCTCACCACTTACCATATTTCAAATTCCAGATTGGTGCTGTTGACGTCCGGGTCATCTAAAGCACAGGTCAGCGAGTGCTGGGATCCATTCACTTCCAGCTGACTGTAGCATGAGAATGAGTAGTCGTCCGGCTCTGCGTCTTCCAAGTCTCCTGGGGAGGAACAAATCTGCAGCTTTAATGAAGCAAATAAATGCGTCCTTTTGAAATCTGGAGTGACATTAATAAAATGGCAGACTTTAGTGGCAGGCGTAAAGGAGTAATTATATTTTATTGAAAAAAGGAAAGCCAAAGGGAAAGGAGAAGAATAAAGCTAAAAAAAAACAACAACAAAAAAACACCAAGGCACATAGAGTTTTCTAGCAGAAATAAAAGTTCATCACAATGAGTAAAGAAACTCCAAATAATATTTCCAAATATTTCTACCATTAGGTTAGTGCATTCGTGATCTAGAATGAGGAGCTGAACACACTCTTTCCTTTCTTTAAACTGGCATTTCTTCCATTAGTTTGTACAAATTAGAGACACTGTATCGCCATCATCCATATGCTACCTAATCTAATGTTTGACTTGATTACTCACCTTCGTTTATTTCCTTCCAAGTATTTTTCTTTTCATGTGAAGGAAGGTGATAAATATTGTACAGTTAGAAGTTCACATTTTTAAGGGATAGCTTTCCCTTGATTTAGGCATTCCCAACTAAAAGTAGCATTGATTATTTCCATTGTGAGAGTACTTCTTTTAAGGCAACTTCTCTTAAGATACTGACTGAGGCAAATGTGATTAGATAAAATTAGATTTAATAGAATTCAGATCTGGTGGACCTTCCTATAGGTCTTATAGATATTGCTTCTGTTTGGTGAGACTGGAAAAGTCTGTCAGCAAATATATACCGATTAGAGTCTGAGAACATTCAGAGAAGGCAAAGTGATTCTCAGAGTGATTGAGCATGATCCTATGGCTGCTTCTGCCCAACTATACCAGGAATTAGATGTCCCAAGGGCTCTGAGGATGGCTCAGGACCGGGCAGTGTTTCATTCTGTTGTACATGGGGTTGCTATGAGTTGGAACCCACTCGCCAGCACCTAACAACAACAACAACAAGGATTTTGAATTGGATCCAGAATATGCTAAAATCAAACCCCAAATGAATGTCCCAAAGGCCATGGGATGTCCAAACAACACTTTCTTTCCTTAAATAGCTCAGTAGGTCCATGGGAAAATTAGTCAAACTGATTGTGAGTGGACCCATCAGTTGAATGACAGGTTGGTTCAGTCAGGGCAACAAATTTGGAATAGCCTCAGCAAGATACAAGCTGAGGGCACTGCTCACATCCACAGGCATTTTTCTTTTCATCATCCTCAAAATCCATTCAGCTCACAATTCTGCCAAGCAAAGTCACCTTCTGTAATATCAGCATGGTGCTCCTCCTGATGGCACTATTAAATAATGAGGGACAGCCCACTATTTAGGGCTCACATCTCAAAGCATGTTCACTCCTAATTTTATTGACTTTGATCTTGTGCCTTAAGAGTGAATGTCTTTCTAAATGGAGTGGTTCTGACTGGTATTAGCCTGTGTTTGCATTGCAGTAGCCACTCTTTCTTGACCTTTCCTCTTCTTTGGACCTTGCATCAAATCCTGCAAAGCAGAGCCTACATTGTTAATCTTTGTATTCAGACATCCTGTGGGTCAGCTTTACCTCCAAAGTGCTTCAACATAAAGTGTAAGCTGGAGAGAACTCAGTCTAGCATAGGCTGGATACCAGTGTAACACAAGACTTCCACTGACCTTAGTCATCCAGGTTGTCAAAGTGCATTTGCTGTATATTCTAAGTCATGGGCACCATGTTCATACACTTCTTCCTGCACTTTAAGTGGCTGTGTTTTAAGAAGCAGCTCTTTGGTTCTTAAAGAGATATTACTGAGCAGGGTTGCTTTACCAAGAAAAATTCCCCTTAACGACTTCGTGAAATTGTGTGGCATTTTACAAACAGAAAAATTCCTAGCTAAGAGTAGTGTAGTACAGTTAGGACTTCTTGTGCCAGAGCTGGACAGATGTAGGTTTAAATTCTTGTTATACTACTTGGTAGCCTTGGTCCTCAGTCAAATTACTCAACCTGTCTAAGCCTCAGTGTTCTGATATGTGAAATCATCTTACTATGAGGAATCATTGAGCAAACACAAAGACTTTTGCAGTTACATAGAGCTTTTGAACAATGAGTCAATCTATTTTTCTCTAAGTGCTCATTATCTAAGAATATTTACCCATAAATTTTGGGAGGGATATGTATTATATGCAAGGAACTGTACTAAGTGCGGTTTAGAAGACTTCTTCCTTCTGAATGGAATAAATTGATTGAAAAGTTTAAATGGTTTGGATTTTTCAAAAGTACCCTTTTCTTCTCTTGATCAGCTTGTGTGGTTTTCAGAGAACTAACTTATCTTTCAACAAATCAGTAGTTGATAAGTATGAATTTCTTACACCTCAAACTGGGAAGTCTATTGACAATCATGTGGATGGGTGGTTACACATAAAATGCCTTTCAGATGTTCTAAAAAAATAAGAAATTAAAAAAGTTGGAGTGAAAACCTGTTTTCAGTTAGAGTTGTTATTTCTTTTAAAAACAGTGTGGCCACCAGGGAGAAGTAGAGGGAAAATGTTATACCAGAAAAAGTAAGATTTATGTGAATGTGCTATTCTACGGGCCATATTTCACTCAGACCTGCCATGCGTCTATCTGCCTTTGTGCATTCACCATGGGATAATGATCAGCCCCCACAAAGTGATTCATACATGCCTACTCGGTAGAAAAGTCAACCCTCTGACAATTCCCTTCATGAGAAAATTCTAGGGATTTCCATCCTCAGTAATTACATGACTTAAAATATCTAAGCTGAGTCATTAGGCTGATGTGTTTGACGTTATCTACGGCAAATACTTTAAACTCTTAAAGGACTTTAATTTGCAGGAACTAATAGGTGGTCCAAGTTCCCAGATGGCTTCTGTTGCTGCTGCTTCACCTTTGCCTACTGTTTTGTTGTAATTATTATGTATTTATGAAGCAGGCAGGTCTGCTTCTAGGCACTAAATATTTTTAACATCCCCAAAGAGAATTATTATAGGAGGGCGGGTTTGTTGATAACGGCGACTATAATAAAGCATATTTCAATGAAACAGCTCACTCAGATCTTTCTCTGTTCAGCTGTTCCCTAAGGATCCCACATGAATCTATCAAAACAAAAGGATTTTGAAGGCATTTTCAAATATTTATTGAATGCCTACTGTATTCTATACACTCTATTAGGTACTGGGGATATAACACTGGTCAAAGTAGACAAAGTTCTTGTTTCTGGACATTATTTTATTATGAAAGATGGAAACTCCTAAAAGCTCAACAAAACAAACTTAGCTTGATTTCTTTATGAGGTGAAATCACCTTGGAGATTTACCAACAAGCACAATCATAGCATTGGTATGGGTGTTCTTTTTGTAAGAACAGAAGCATCAATCAACATTTAAGATCCACATTTTGAAAGTGTATTCTTTCTTGATAATTTTAAGATCATTTATAAACCACCCACCATGTCGTCCCCATGTCCTCTGTCCTGGTAGTTAGAATCTCTGTGCTCTAGTTCTGAATACATGCTAAGTTCTTAAACTGCTTTCCAACCTGGTGCCCCAGCTCAGGTCTCGTAGAGATCTGAGTAACCTAAAATACATGCCAGAGATCATCCACAATCCTAAAGAAAAGTTAGAAATGACTCACCGTTCTGTGCATAGCCACTCTCTCCAGAAACGGAATGAAGTAAATAGAAAGCCATACCAAAAGCTGTACCTAGAATTGTCATTCTGAGAGAGAGAAAGAGCAGACAGCAGGCGTGTGAGTCTACACGTACTAATGAATGAGAGAGAGAGAGATACTTAGATCTACAGCTTTATACTTATTTCACCACAGACAGGGGGAAGTATAAAAGAAGGCAAGCCTTCTTCCAGAAACAGGAAGTCTGAGTAAATGTGTTGATGCTGCAGGGCCAGATTAAGACGTGTGAGGGCCCTAAACACTGATAATCTGTGGTGCCCCTGCCTCCTCTACTTAGTCATTTGAATGGGATACATCATACACACATAAATACATATATACATACATATATATATGTGTGTGTGTCTTAGCTATCCATGATCATGATGTAACTTCTTTTTAAATGTTACTATAATATTAGCAATTGAACTCAAAAGTGGTGTATGCCATTTTAGTGGAATGAGATGAACTGGATGATAAAATTTTTAGTGGATGTGGGGTACTAATACTTTTACTATATATCACATTTTCTACAAAAAGGATATTCCACATATTCTACAACAAAGAAAATGAGTCAGTGAATTTAGTTGTTTCAACGATCAATGTAAAATTCTGTTGATCTCCCACTACAAAAAAATTGAATTTCACCAATTTTGCTTTAAGCTCATACTTCAATTTTGATGCTTGTTTTGTAATAAATGCTATGAGTATAAATGAGCAAATGAAGAGATGTCATAAAAGAAAATTTAATGATAAGAAAACAAATCCCTATATTTTATTTTCAGATAAATCTTTCATCTCTAACATGTTATAATTAAAAACATTTCTTCCCATTCTTTGCTCCTACAAAATTCTTCAGTGACTTCATCACAGTTAAGCTGTTGAACAACATCTACTTCTACTCATAATGAGGATAATGAATCGAGTCTTTCTTGAGTCATTGCTGTATGCTGAGGGATTTTGAGTCTCTTTAGGGATGAAAATGAGCATTCTGTTATGCAGTTTGTGATCATTAAAGTTAGGAATATAGGTAAAGCAATTTCAACATTGGGGAATATGCATCGTATTTTATCTTCTATTATGGAATCATACATGCCTGCCTGAGTAAAATTTGTTTTTCCTGAATCTGTAAACTCAGCTCTCATGTAAGAATGAAATTGTTGCACTTCTCCGTAGAGGTTTGTATTTAAGTCATTGGGATAAGCCTGCACTAATTTCTTGGAGGCCTTCACGCATTCTTCATCAGGCATATCCACATCCTTTGTTGTTTCCTGGGAAGACAAATTTAGAAAGACACTCATTGTTGGAAAACATAAACATATTTTTCACAATAAATAAATATTGAATTTTGTGTCCTCTTAATGTGCCTAATACTTAATTTATTAGCACAGTATCAAGCACTGTGTCCTGCATAACAGACAATAAAAAATGAAACTCACTTGATACATAAATTAAAACTTTTCTTGTTAGATAAATATGAATATTTCTAGTCTTTTTTGGACGTTTGCTATGTTAGTATTATATTATTACTCATGTTAGTATTATATTAAATGTATGGTTGATTGCATCTGTGTGTATGCCAAACATATTTTAAAGTTAAAGTTATAAATACGATTGTTTACAAACTTAGGACATAACTCTGTATGTAAATGCTATACAGTTCAAAAAGTAACTTGATTGAATGCATTGCAGTGGTGGAGTTATTCGAGTTCCCTTGCTTATTATGTGCGTCATCTGGGACTGGAGTTCCCATTGTATGCAAGAGCATACCCTTGTGCTGGTATCATTGCAAAGAGCATTGCTAGCCCTCCTGGCTGGAGTTGTTGGATCAGCAAATGTGGATGTACAAGACGGTTCTCTCAAAATGGATCAGAGACCTGTTATCTATTAATATAACCTGTGCCCTGTAACTGGTCATGTTGGATCCAGTTTCTTATCGGGTGAATCTAGCAAGAGTTAGACTCAACAGCCCACCCCTACCTCTTGTTTATTAGGAAGAAATAGCATACTCCGAAGAGACCTGCCAAGATAAGGAGTTTCAATTACACAGGAGGAGACTGTAGGAGACAGATGTCAACGAAGGTATTGAAATGGTAGCACCTCATAGCTTAAACACCGTTGAGCACAGGCACCCTTGTGAGCCTGTGTGAACTTTATTTCTGGTTAGCACATTCTCATACATGGCAGGTCGTATCCACTTCATTTAGTGCCCTGCCAGTTCTCTTCCACTGTGGCGCCCGCTTTTCCTTGTGTTCTGTCTGCTTGGTATCTATGGATCTTTGCTTTGAATAATTAGTGCCCCTGTTTTGTTGATGCCCTAAGCTCGTACTTACCTTGCTTACTGAATAATCCATCTTTGTGCTGCTGCCAGCAGAGGTAGAGGGAATCAGGGATAGAGACCATTTTAAGTTATTATAAAAATAAAACAGTTGTCATTGAGTTGATGCCAACTCATGGTGATTCATGTGTGGCAGAGTAGAACTGTGCTCCACAGGGTTTTCAATAGCTGAGTTTCTGGAAGGCCTGTCTTCCAAGGCACCTCTGGGTGGACTTGCGCCTCTAAACTTTTGGTTAGCAGCCGAGCATGTTAACCGTCTGCACCACCCAAAATAAAAAACCAATACAGGTTCTGTTGTGTTGATCCTGACTCATGGCTTCCCCATGTGTGTCAGAGTAGCACTGTGCTCCTTGAAGTCTTCAACGGCTGTGACCTTTTGGAAGCAGATGGCCAGGTCTTTCCTGCAAGGAGCCTTTGGGTGAATTTGAACTGCCAACTTTTCAGTTCATAGCCAAGCACTCAACAGTTTGTACTACTCAGGGACTCCCAGGAACTCCTAAATTATTATACCCCTCTGGTATTTCTTTTGATGGCACCTAACGACAACAGCTTGTATTTCTTGCAGTCCTCAAACTTACTGGGCTTGTTTCAGAATAAGGTGTTGGATTCAAATCTAGCCTCAAGCCATCTCAGGCTGGAGTGTGAACAGGGTCCACTTTAAAAGAATCACAAAACAAAACTCTAAACTTACAAAGCTAATCAGTTGATTGTTTGGGCGTTGAATTTTGTTTAAAGAAAGATTCTGCATTTTACGAAGTAATTCATTACAGATCTATTTATTTTTTCTCACAACAGAATTTATTGGCATTCCTGTCAGTTGTCTGCAATATATAGAGTTGTAAAATAACTGAGACAATGTAAGCTGCAGATAACCAAAGCACATGCAGTAATAATTTTTGCTCATTTCAAAGTCATTTATAATTTTTGCCTGACACTGTAAATAAGCTATCAGGATTTCTACCCAAAGCTAGACCCTTTACTTGAGTGCTAGATTTAATTAACGCCTCTCTCCTGTTCAGTAGAGGGTCAGCAAAAAGAGGAAGGCCCTTGATGAGATGAACTGACACAGTGGCTGCAACAATGGGCTCAAACATAACAACAATTGTGAGGATAGTGCAGTGTTTTGTTCTGTGGTACATTGGGTCGCTATGAGTCAGAACAAAGTCAACCGCACCTAACAACAACAGATGTTCAAGGACATTGTTTGGACTTCTTCCTCTGTTATACCATCAAATGTTTCCCTTTTCTCAACATTCCCATTACAAGACTAATATCTGTTTAAAACTTACTAACCCCATTTCCTTCACCAGCTAACACCTGGTTTCTCTGATTCCTTTGCAACAAAGCTTTCGGAAAGACATCTATTTTTACTAGCTTCGGTTCTTTTCCTCCCACCGCCAAACCCACTCCAGTCACTCTTTAGCTAAAAGTCCAAATCAGAGTCCTGGCAGTGTAGATTCCTTCAACGTCTGTAGCCTTGGGCACTCGTTGGTTTCTTGGCTATCCTCATATGGCATCTCTCTTCCCTGGTGTGTGCTTGCCTCTATGTCTAACTTGATCTCTCTCTCTCTCTTTTTTTTTTAATTTCATTGTGTTTTAGGTGAAAGCTTACATGGTAAATTAGTTTTTCATTCAAAAATTTTATACACAATTTGTTTTGTGACATTAGTTGCAATCCCTGCAACGTGTCAGCACTCTCCCCCTTTACCTTTCCACTCTGGGTTCTCAGTGTCCATTCATCCAGTGTTCCTGTCCCTTCCTGCCTTCTCATCTTTGTTTTTGGGCAGGTGTTGCCCATTTGACTGAACTAAGAAGCACGTTCCTCATGTGTGTTATTGTTTGTTTTATAGGCCTGTCTAATCTTTGGCTGAAAGGTAGACTTTGGGAGTGGCTTCAGTTTTGAGTTAGCAGGGTGTCTGGGGACCATAGTCTTAGGGTTTCCTCCAGTCACCATCAGACCAGTAAATCTGGTCTTTTTTTTTTTTTTGTGAATTTGAATTTTGTTCTACATTTTTCTCCCATTCTGCTCAGGACCTTCTGTTGTGATCCCTGTCAGAGTGGTCGGTGGTGATAGCCGGGCACCATCTAGTTCTTCTGGGCTCGGGTTGGAAGCTGTGGCTCATGTGGTCCATTAGTCCTTTGAACTAATATTTTCCTTGCGTCTTTGGTTTTCTTCATTCTTCTTTGCTCCAAACATTCTGGGACCAATAGATGTATCTTAGATGGCCACTTGTAAGCTTTTAGGACTCCAGATGCTACTCACCAAAGTAGGATGTAGAACATTTTCTTTATGAACTACATTATGCCAGTTGACCTAGATGTCCCCTGGACCATTGTCCCCAGCCCTCAGCCCCAGTAACTCAATCCTCAAGGCCTTTGGATGTGTCTAGGAAGCTTCTATGACTTTGTCTTAGTCAAGTTGTGCTGACTTCCCCTATATTGTGTGTTGTCTTTCCCTTACCAAAGTTAACACTTGTCTACTATCTAGTTAGTGAAATTCCTCCCCCACCCCTCTTGTAACCATCAAAGATTTTTTTTTTTTTAATGTGTAAACATTTTCTTGGGTTTTTATAATAGTGGTCTCATACAATATTTATCCTTTTGTGATTAACTCATTTCACTCAGTATAAAGCCCTCCAGATTCATCCATGTTGTGAGATGTTTCATGGATTCATCACAGTTCTTTACAGTTGCATAGTATTCCATTGTGTGTATATACCATAATTTGTTTACCCATTCATCTGTTAATGGGCACTTAGGTTGTTTCCATCTTTTTGCTATTGTGAATAATGCTGTAATAAACATGGGTGTGCATATGTCTATTCTTATGATG